CAGCTTCTCTGGTGAGGTCATTGCTCTGTCTCCTGTTTTGGGCACCCCTGCCTGGAGGACACCCTTCAGTTCAGTCCTTTCCAGTGCCCACTGGAGCTCTATTTCAGTGGATGTAACCCCGGGCATTTTGGAAACCCGGCTCACACTAATCCCACCCATCCCAAACATTTTAATCCCGTGCCTTTTTCTGGCCAAGTGTCTCTCACCTCCTAAATCCCCACAGGCAGAAGCTGCTCCCAATACAAAATGATGTTGTCACTCCTGGAGCATTTCAGGAGAGGAAACTGCCCCTCAGATCATCTCCTACCTCTGGATTTCTGCTTTGGGCTCCTGCCGTGCTCTTGACCCAAAGGAAAAAGCCACCCTGAAATCCCAGGAAGGTTTTGGGAACGAGGAGTTGATTTATTTAAATTTATTTCAATCCTTGCCCTTTTCCTGTGCAGAATTTACAGGTGAAACCCACTCCATGGAAATCCACAGACATTTATCTGGGGGTTGATTTTCCCAGGGTCGGGATTTCATCCCAAAAGGATGCACATTCCGGGTTCTCAAGCTGAGTTTGTTCTAATTTACCACTTTTTTTTTCAGGTGAGATAAAAGGGAAAAGTGCCAGTGGGGGGTGAAGGAGAAGAGAAAGTTGTAGTGACACTGTTACACCCTCCCATTTGCTGACTCGAGACTCCCCTATAATCAGGAGAAATCCTAATTAGGCAATAATTGATCTGCCTGAAAAGCAGCAGGTTTATGAGGTTCCCTAATCAGCCCTGATCAGCTGGGGCAGCTCTTCCACAACTTCTCCTCTTGTTCCTGGGTCCTGCCAAACCCTCAGCTCATTTCCAGCCCTTCCCTGCCCCAAAGTCCTGGAAATCTGTTCTGAATGAGGACAAAGCTCCTCGGGCTAATCATGGAATTAGGGAATTTGTTGGATTGGAAAAGACCTCTGGGATTAGCAGCTCCAACCTGGCCCAAGATGCAGGAGCTGCACGAGCAGGTGAGATTATGGCATGACCCAGGAATGTTGAATGGGGAACCAGAGAAAGGGAAGGTTGTGTCAACTCTGCAGGTCAAACTGACTCGAGATCTTTGAGTTCAGCTGGAGGATGAAATCCTGGGCCAAGGTTTGCAAACCTTTCCCTGCTCCTGGGAAAGGTTTCACAGGAACCTGCTTTGATATTTCTTTTAATGCTCTCCCCCTTTGATGCTTTTCCCCCCACTTGTCTCCCAAATCCTGGCCAAATGTTGGTGTTGTTTTGAACTTTGGATGGGGTGGGGCTGGCTGGAGGCAGTGGGAAAACTTGGTGGGTCTGGGTTCATGTGGAAGAAGAGGAGAAAAGAGAGAAGGGATAAGGAAAGGGAAAGGATGAGGGAAGGGAAGGGGAAGAAAAGGAAAGGGAAGGAAGAAAAGGGAAGGGAAGGGATAAGGAAAGGGGAAGAAAAGGAAAGGGAAGGGAGAAGGAAAGGGGAAGAAAAGGGAAGGGAAGGGA